TATATATAATTGGATCATTTCAGGCACTGATGTTAAATACATCATCAAAGTTGACTTATGAAGATTCTAAACATTTCAACATTCTTATCGACGACATATTTCCAAATATTGAAAAGGATTCTTTACAAGTTTTACTTTTTATTCTCATCTTTTTCAAATTTTTTCGAAAGGCTCTTGATCTATTTTTCCATACAAATCTTTTTTCGCTATTGTGCCGTTTTCCGGATTCATTTACAGTTACAGATCGATCTCTTGTTAGAACCAGTGAAATTGGCTGCATCTGCGATGACTTTAACTCTTACTGACATACAGGTATAATTAGCAGTTAATGACATTACCGCAGTCTTCCGTGTTTTCGGTAATTCTCTGTGAACAAATTGCGTCATTAGTTCCTGAACAGACATAATCATCTGCGAAAATTTTTTTGCAGTATGTTCACGGTATCCTAGTGAGGAAGTGATTATGCATTGGTAAAAGAAATATTTTCTAGATGAAGAAAATATTTGAGCTATACAATCAATTACATCAGAGGATGGGTGTTATATTGTTGGGTCCTAGTGGCTCTGGTAAATCTACTATGTGGAAAATATTGCAGAAAGCAATGGCATTAATAAATAAACCTGTGAGAACATATTGGATCAATCCGAAGTCACTACCAAAACATAAAGTAATTAAGAGTTATGAATTTTTTATTGGTGTCTGTAGCCAAAAAGCTTTGGAAGTCTGAGATCGACCAAGTATTTGATACAAGATGGTTATTTATTGTAATTCAAAAACATTCTTTTCTGCTGATTGCTCTTCAGCTGTTGGGACAGATGGATATTGATACTCGGGAGTGGTCTGATGGTATATTGACGGCAGCTGCCCGAGAAATCGCCAAAAATAGTAGTACATTATCGTGGATAATTTGTGATGGTGACATTGATTCCGAATGGATCGAAGCTCTTAATTCCGTTCTTGATGATAACTGCATGGCAATTTTTAAAATTTTTATGTAGTTCATGCAAGATATCAATTTATGATGTAAATTGTTAATGAAACCAGCGCTTCATTGTTTCACGACAATAAAATGGTTGATTAGCTTTATATATATATAATTGATATTTAAGTTTTCCTTCCGATAAGACGAATTAAAAAGTAAAGTTTCAGCTAACACTGCCAACCGGTGAAAGAATTCGGTTTGGATCCAATTTAAATTTCATTTTTGAAACGGATAATCTTGCATGTGCCTCTCCGGCTACAGTATCTAGGATGGGTATAGTGCTTGTTAGGTAGCAGTTTTTGTTTCTGTTATTTTTTCATTACGAAAAGATGCTATTAATATATGATTCAACGAAGCTCTATTGTGTTATTTTGAACTGCACACTAATCAATAATTTTTTCCTTATCTTTGTAGCGAAGAAGATATGAGCATTCAAGATTGTGTTAATCATTGGCTATCGAAATATCTCAACAGTAATCCTGATATGTCTACTTGGATCAATGATCACTTGTACAGGTTGAGGTTTGAGATGATTGTTTCCGCATTTCCATTTCTTTTTGTTCACTATAATTTTTTTTTCAGCAATAAAAGTGATTTTAGTGAGTGATGTTAGTGTCTTCTCTATTTTACTTTAATATAATGCTTTAGAATTCAATTTTGTTAGAAATTTTCATAATTAGGTCTGAACCTTAATGATTCATCCAGATGTCTTGATTGGATTTGGGCTAGACAGGCTTTCGAAATTAAAATAAGTAACGTCGGAACTGTGAGGAATGCCTTAAGTCATTTGGGGAAGGTAACATCGCGTGATGAATTCTTGGTAGCTATATTTCGTGGATTGGCCCAAAATTTGAAATCAGAATGCCGAAATCAGTTTGCTTTGGAGGTTTTTTTTCTTGCCCTTGTTTTTAGATTTATTAAGGATATGTATTAAAAATTATCACGTATTGGTTTTTACTAGCAAATGTTAATCTTTATTTTTTAAGGTTGTGTTTCATGAGATAAGCATACCAGATGAACAGAATTTTGACATTATTTACTATGATAGACGGAGAAAATCATTGTTGGCTTACACAGATGAAATAGACATGCAAATTAATAACAGTCAATTATTAGCGATGGAACGAAGACCGTACATTTTAACTGCCAGTGCTAAAGCTTATCGTGATACCGTTAGTAACTATAAATTTGTAACAAACCTATGCTTCCGAATAACTTTATTTTTGTATTTGGATTTAAAAGTTTTTGCTTTTGAAAACGTTGAAGTTCGGAAATTATGAAGTTGAAGATTTGCTCCTGGTTGGAAGAATCCAATAGGCAACCTTTTATGGTCCTCGGTCCAGATGGCAGTGGAAAGGAAAGTTTGATACGATACTGCTTGGAGTTGGATTCAATGAGCCAGATAGCAGTAATCCACTGCAGTGCTCAAACAGGGTGAATTATGTTCCATATCAGTTGTACTATCTCTACTTCTCGAAATGAGTGTATTTCATTATAAAATATCGAGATGTTCAGTAATGATTATAGCGAAACATCTAAAAAGATTTTATGCATTCAGAAAGTTTCAGATGCCAGCAAATATTGGATTTATTTTACCAATATTGTGTGGAAACTAGCAGTGCATCTGGAAGGATTTTGAAACCAAAAGACAAGCCTAATTTGGTGATTTACATTAAAGCACTAAATGTTGTGAAGCCTGACAAGTGGGGCAGTTACGAAATAATCGCTTTTTTGCAACAGCTTCTGACATATGGAGGTTATTATAAGCAAAATTTGGAATGGATCTCTTTGGAAAATATCCAGGTTCGTTCTGAACTCTATTTTTTTACTTTGAGCTTCGCAAGGTGAATTATGCGAAGTTTAACTTCTGAGTCATCCGTTCAATTCATGAAGAAGTGTTTGTCCATAACGATTTCTGAGCAGTAATAGCTCTGCATTTGTTGCACTATCAGTTATTGGTGAAAAGATTGGTTCTTTTTGTAAACTAAAGTTTGATTTTTGGTACTTCTGAGCTTGTTTGATTAATAATGTGAAGTTTTCTGTGAAATAAAGTTTACAGAACTCTAACATTTATTATAAATGATTTCCACAATTACGAAAGTCTGAAATCAATCTTCCTGAACTGCTTAATCTGTGCTGTAAATTGAACAACATAAAAAATCATCTTATTTCAAACAAATTTGGTGATTGGATATTCATCATTTGTTTACAAAATACAACTTTTAACTTTGTTGTTTGAAGTGACCATATAAATTAATATACATTTATTTTTAACAATACAGAAAATAAATTTGATTTTCGTATTACTTTCCTCTAAAAAGAATGGAGTATAAATTTCTCAAATTTATTCATAATTTGTAGTTGGTTTTGTCCATGACAATGGCCAGTGATGAAGGTCACTGCACGCTACCGTTACGTTTTGTTTCACTACTGCGACTTTGTGTGGTTAAATATCCATCGAATGACGAAATAATAACCATCTACGCTTCATACTTGGCAATGCTAATTAAGGTTTAGCTTGTTTTGTCTCATAGCAGTACATGTGTTTTACAGCTTTTCCCGTCAACTTTGTCAGGAGACAAAAAATATATTTATAGCTCATTATAATTTATCGTTGTTGCAATATATGCATAGTTCAACTTCATTGGGGTGAAATAATTATTTTAGGACTGGACACTATTGTCGAACTATCATCCGAAAGATATTGCAAAAATTATGGTTCACCTTTTCAATCAAATACGCAATACATTTAGACCTACTGATGAAGCACATTACTTATTTACTTTGAAAGATCTAACCAATTGGGTGTCTGCTCTTATGAGATATGAAATTAATGGTATTTCATTGAAAATTGAAATTTCTCCTCACATCATTAAATAATATTAATAATGTGAAACTTAAGTGCTGACTTTTCATTTGCTCTATTACTGATAAGAGATAGAGATATAATTGTAGTAGTTAGGATTTCTCAGCTCATGAAACTAGATTGGTTTCCCCTCTGATTTTCGGAAATACTTTAAGAAGGTTATTGCCCATCTGTGGGCATCGTTTTTATCTATCTTTTTTGCTCTGAATTGTAGATACATTTTAATTTATTAAGAGTATTGATAATAGATTTAATTGTACGTCATCTATCATTGTTTCCTTTCATTTTTTAGTTTTTAATATTTTTTAAATTGGCAGGCAGCAATGCTGATGACAAATTTTTGCGGTCGATGGTGCACGAGTGTCGAAGAATTTTCAAAGATCGTTTAGTTAGTGATGAACACAAGCAAATGTAAATCAACTTCTTTCTTAAATTGCTTGAGATTATGTAATTGGTTCATATCATCACTGCAAATAATTTTTGGTACGAGCATGAATTCGAAGCTTTATTAGTCCTTTATAGTCTTATCAAAATGACGGAAGTGTTTGAATGAACTGCTATGAAAAATATTCATTTTTCAGATTTGAAGATATTCTTCACGGAGCTCTGCCTCCAGAATTTGTTTATGATGATGAAAGTGAGGATTAAATTGCATTTTCTGATATTTTGTTTTTATGGCTTGAAATATAAGCTGCAGTGAGACAACCCGATTGTTTGTATAAAACGAAGTTCTAATTCTTGAAATTGAAGTAATTTTGAATACATAATTAACTAAAAAAGATTATTGGAAGTTATACACATAATTTTAGGCAATTTGTATGTTACTGCTCCAGAAGTGCTCCCAGTATCAATGCATAAAGGAGCTTTGTTATCACTAGTGTACTGTGAAGAGTATATCAATCTTTTGCAAACAGCAGTCAAACAATATGGCAAGTTGTGTTTGCGTATCACATGAGAAATGCGATTAATCAATGCTGTATTAATAATTATTTTCGACAATTGATTTCAGCTTTTTTTCAATTTTTGATTCCAATTCTAAATGCAGTTTTATAGATTTTGAGGTAGGAAATTTAAAAATGCCAATTCATCACGAATTCGCAAAATTATGCTCGCGAATTGATCGAGGCATCACTTTACCTGGTACTAGTACTTTATATTTTTCCATCTTAACTTTGTTTCATAGGAGAGAAGTTTTGAAATGGAAACCTTATTTGATGCTAAGAAAATTATAGAAATCCTTTCACAGGTGGGTCATTATTGTTAGCTGGAAGAGCTGGAATGGGAAGACGAGAAGCTGTGTTACTTGTTGCAAATATACACGGCATGCCGATTTTTACTCCAAAAATGACCATATCATATGGAATGAAACAATTCAGAAATGATTTGAAAACAGTTACTATTTGCAGAATTAAGTAGCTCACATGATTTCTTATAATATACTTGGAGATGATAGTATAATTTCAATACAACTGTTTTGCTTCTTATTTGGCAACAGCTATCTGAGTTGTAGTCTTTAATCTTTGCTTACGATTATTTAACTGCTGAAGATTTTCAGCTATGTTTCAGGTTATCTTGGATGCAGTTGTTAATAACAAACATGTAGTTTTTATTGTTGAAAATCATCATTTATTGTGTGACACATTTCTGCAGTTAATCAGTTCATTATTATCATCTGGTGACGTTCTTAGGATTTTCACTTCTCAAGAATTAGACAGCATTTTATTAAACTTGCGCGATCACGCTGCTCAAGATGCTTTTCAAGGAAATTTACTCTCATACTTGGCTCTCAGTAAGTTTTAATCCAATGGTATTGTTTTACTCTTATTTAACTACTGTTTATGCAACCTTATTCAAAGAAAATTGTAGTGATCGGATCGATAAGAAATTTTTTAAGAATGATAGATATATATTTGTATGAGATATTTAGAACATTTTATTGTGCGAAAAACTCTTGAATCAGCCATTCACTTTAGAAATATTTTGATTTTAGAAGTGAAAGTTAATCTGCATATTGTCCTTATTATGAATATTGATGACACTAAATTTTCTGTAAATTGTTCATCCAATCAGTCGCTGTTCAAGGAGTGTTCAGTCATTTGGAATGAAACGTGGAATGCAGATACTTTATTACAGGTTTTTCTGGAATGGATTAATCACTGAATTATAATTTCGAGAATACACTCGAGGAAAAAGATAATAAATTTAAATTATGGTGGTAAAGTAAATGGTTTGAATTTAATGTAAAGAAAACTTTCATTTTGCAGTGCTTAATAAGATATGCTGAAAATAACTGAAACTATTTTCCAAAATAAAGTCGGGACTAATATTCGTCTATTGCAGTTAGCAAATTTAATTTTATCTCGTAATGCTGTGAAAGTATCGGATGATACACTAGTCGCACTTCGACAAATTTATCATTTTTGTCCGTATCATTTAGCTTCACCTGCGAAATATATCCTTTTTATTAAAAACTACATTCATATTCTTAATAAAAAACGAAACGCGGTGGAAATCCGGACTAACAGATTAAAGGTCTTTCCATTTCCTAAAAAGATTACTTATACTTTATTCTAGGAAGCCGGGAAGTTTCATTTTTGTATTCTTGATATGTAATTTTGATGAAATGGATGTGAAAAATTGCCATTTTGTATAATCCATGTGTGACTATCAGTTTCTGATTTAAAATTGCCAGTTTCATTTCTTCAGACTGGAATTGACAAATTGACGGAAGCACGTGAGGCGGTTTCTGAAATGCATAAAAAAGCTGCCAAAAAAAGTAAATTATTAACAGAAAAACAAGCGGATGCAGATGCAGCGTTGAAAGCGATATCACAAAGCATGAAGGTTTGTTCTGAAAGAACCTGCTGAGAGTCAACAAAATTTCACCATTTGATGAGAGTTAAGGACATTGTTTTCTTTCATGTTTTGAGATTAGTCTGTACAGAACAGAAATTCATTAATGATTCCCAATTGCTTGATTAATGTTAGATTTTATGTTACAAATAACATATATATTTTATATGCTATTTGCTATAGAATGCAAGCTATCAACGAGCTGATATGGAACAGCTTAAACTAGCTGTTGTTAAGGAAAACGAGAAAATTGAAAATGAAAAAACTTTGATCGAAGTGCAGTTGCGCGAAGTTAATAGTTTTATACCATAATGTTTTGTTTTACTTTTTATAATTTTTTCTGGAGTGTATCATCGTTGGCTTACTAGCTGAAATTTCCGTTGGATATTCAAATAGATCTGCTGGCAAAAAGTTCTTTGATAGGTAGAACCATTATTACGAGAAGCACGTGAAGCGGTTGGTTCTATTAGACCAGAGAGTTTGTCAGAAATTCGAAGTTTGCGTGCTCCACCAGAAACAATTCGGGATATCCTGCAAGCCGTATTGTTATTATTGAGCATTTTTGATACATCCTGGGAAGCAATGAGAAAGTAATTTTTGCATCTTTTAAATGAGAAAGAACTACTCGATGAAATCTGATTGCAAATTTTTTTGTGCAGTTTTCATCCTTTATTTCAGATTCTTGGCTAAAAACAGCATGAAAGAAGAAATAATCAATTTCGATGCGCAAAAGATTTCACTGGATATACACAAAAAAGTTTCCATGCTTGTAAAAAACAAGGAGGCATCATTTGATCCTAAAGTAAGTATAAAGCAGTTATTTCGTCTTTCAAATTGAAATCATTATCAACAAAATTTCAAAACAAGTTTTTGAATTATTTTCCAGTGCTTAATGATTTGTGTTGAGGATCTTATTAGAATCAATATTCTTGAAACACATATCAAGTAATGAAATCGTTATAGGAGTTAGGAAAGAATTATAATGTTAAGTGATCGGGAAAGACTTTTTTTGTTGAAGATTGAGAAGTTTTAAAGTCTACTTTTTTCCGCATTGCTCATTTGTTTCCTCACAGTTGCAAGAAGTGTGAATATCGATGGAAGATATCTATCAAGAAGTTAATTCCGTTTCAATTTTATCAGAAATTATTTATAAGGACTGCTTAGTTCTAAAATTTGTTTTGTTTTTAAATACTTATTTTTTTATTATGTCTTACAGAATGCAAAACGAGCATCTGCTGCAGCAGCACCATTGGCAGCTTGGGTAAAAGCGAATTTGGATTACTCGACAATTTTGAGACGCGTAGAACCACTGCAAAAAGAAAAAAATTGTTTAATTAAGTAATGCAGTTGGAAATTTGTAATATTACTGTTACGGTGCTTCAAATAAAATTCAAAAATTTGCTAATATCATAAACATCGTAGACGAAATCATTTTAATTGGATTATTATTTTAATTTTTTTACTTTTAAATGTGTGCAACAGCATGTTCAGATTTTGCTGTGAACCATGATTCATTTTAGATTCCAATATTCTCTTAATTATTTAGTTTATAGAAATCTATGCCCATCAAACAACTTTCATTACAGGAATTTAAGTGAAGCCGAAAACCAAATGAAGAAATTATCAAAGGATTTGGAAACAGTAGATGAACAAGTTGCTAAGTTGAAACATACGTTTGAAGCTCGCACAGAAGAAGCGACACAAATAAAAATCGACTTGGATAAGGAACAGGTAGACTTATGGTGTTACTGCATTTTCACGGTTCCTTTGTGATGGGAACAAATTTCGTGAGTCGGTAGGGCTAAATAAAGTTTTGTAAATCTTTTTTTGTGGAAATTGATTTTTCAATGCTTATACATTTTTGTTCATTCATATCGTCATCTATTCCTAGAATACCATAAGAGTTGCTGGAACACTGGTAGATCGACTAAGTGGTGAATATAATAGATGGCAACAGCAACTCGATGGTTTACAGAAAGAACTTAATTGTGTAACTTTTATCTTTTTTTGGATCAAATCATTTTCACAATTCGTTTCTTTGTTAATATGACAGATAATTTACTCTTAACGAAATTCTCATATTATACTTGTTGTTTTATATTTTTTGAAGTTAGAGAAGGGTTCTCTTCTTTCTGCTGCGTTTACAACATTCCTTGGATCAGAACTGGAGCAAAGTCGAGATGAAATTTCGAAAAAATGGAAAAATTTGTTGGGTTTGAATGACTTCAATGTCTTGGACTTTAACGTTTTAGAAAGTGAAAAGGTATGTTTCGGTTAACTTTACTATTCAGAAAGTAGTAATAATTCCAAGTCTCGCTTTGTGTGCGGAAAAAATTTGAAAAATCATATTAGCAAAGATAAGTTGCTATCAAAAGAAAATTAGCAAGTTTAAAAAGAATATCCTCAGTTGAGATCTGCATAGAAATCATTGTTAATTGTGTAAAATTATTCTCATCCCTATGGATTTATTATAGTTGAATTGGAGCAATGAAGGGCTTTCTACTGATGCTTTTTCACAAGAGAATGCTATGATTTTATTCAATACTGTTGGAGTACCGTTTATCATCGATTTTAGAGGGCATGTATCATCTTTTTTGGAAAATCATATAAAAAGCAATTTTGAAAAAGTCAGTGCCGACAGTTCGGACTTCATTACTCAGGTATTGGCGATTGTAAAATATTCCAGAGTATTTAATTTGTATGAAAGCAAACCAGCAAAATCGCTTTGGTTATTTAAATTAACTTCCTGACAACAAGCATTAATAAGTTTAAGTTACTACAAGATTGTTTTAAAGCCATACTTTTTTTAATTGATTGTAGGTTGAACTTGCTGTACGTTTTGGCAAAACCTTATTAGTCAATGATGTGCATGCGATCAATCCTATACTTATCAATCTTCTTCGGAAGGATTTTTTCTACCAAGGCCTGTTTGTAACTGATTTCTTGTTGCATTTTCGCAACTATCGACTCTCACATTACCTGCACAGTTTCAGAAAATTTTTGGATTAAATCATTCAAGTTTTGACACTAAATTAAATTGAAAATTAAAGTGCCTGAATTCATAAGTAGGATATTTGTACATAGCAGGCTACCAAATTAAGATTTCTTTGACATATAAAATCTTGCGTTTCAGTTAATTTATGAAGTACAATTAGAAATCGAACTCATTATATATATATATATATATATCATCAAGAATTCTTGGCCTTGCCTAGGTGCTGAGCGGTTGGCTCCGAGGTTAGCTTTGAGGTTGGCTCTGAGGTTGACTCTGAGCGGCTGTGTTCAGGAAACAAAATGGTGGGTAAAAAGAAAAAATCCGCACCTGGAATCATAAATGAAAACAATGGAAAAATTGATGCGGTTGAAAAAGCCATGAGAAGGATGTGAGAGAACATACTGCCAGTAAACTGGAATCCGGTGCCAACAGAATGATCACACTTGAAGCACTCGTCCATGGAATCGAAACCCCACGAACTAAGTGGTTAGGAGAGGTGCTAAAAGCGGTTCTTGACGAATTTGGAAGAATGCCGAGAGCGAAAAGCCATTATGTCGTTCTCTGTATAGCGAGAAGTTTTCGTGTGCTATTACCCTCGAAGAACTGAATAAGCAAGCGAACTCAGTGATCACCAATATTGCAGGTCGTCTGTGCTCACAGAAACGGTTCTTGGAGGAGTCCACGAAACGTATCAGTTCATAAAATGCGCACTTTGAAAAAAATACGCTACATGAGTCTCAGACTTATTTCTATGTAAAGAAGAGATACCCAGTGCTGATGCAAGAAATACAAGGACGTGAGATAAACCAGATAAAGTGGACGCGCAAAATAAAATCGGATTATACTTCGAGCGGTGAACCAAGCGGCGAGTGAATATGGCGCACAGATTGCCTAAATTAATGAGCAATATTGTAAAGCAGCTTCGAGTGGCGCAAAAGTGCTATCAATTCATAAAAGGGCAAGAGAAGTCATCGGAGTGGAAGGCAAGTACATTGAAAGGCTGGTGGAATTTATAGCTTCTTCATTAAGAAGTGCATTTCTTTGCATTCAGACCTGTACAAAATAATAAGAAGGATTGTCTGGATGGGGAGGAACAGGATCCGTAGTTCTATAAAGGTACTACCTACCTGATTCCAAAAGGTATCTCAAGTAAAGGCAGCGACTTCAGGCCAATAACTTGTATGTCGAACCTTTACAAGTTAACAACGAAATTTGTGGCACGCGTCATGCAGTTAGATGTTGCCATGAGGAAGCTGCTTGCAGACAAGCAATTAGGAACTGTTACCCAGGTTCAAGGTTCGAAGGAACAAGCAGTGTTGAACCTGGCGGTTTGTAAAGAGCACGGGAACCAGCTTTACACTACATGGTATGACATCAAAAAAACGTTCGATTCAGTTAATCAAAGATATCAGATTAAATGCATTGAAAGGCTTAACATGCCATCGTGGATCAACAGGTTTCTGAGAAGTATCAACTCTAGATGGTCGGTTACATTGAAAAGCAATGAAGAAACAAAATGCAGAAAATAGAACGAGGAATTCTTCATGTTGATAGCCTTTCTCCGCTGCTATTCGTTCTGTGCATGGACCCATTGAGCCGTCGGCTCAATATAAGGTACTCAAAGATGGCGGTTCCAACTGATCAAGGAGTGCACCTTACGAATCATGTGTTCTTTGTGGATGATCTCAAGATCTTTGCGATTGATGAAGATATCATGAAGTCTATGGCGGAAGAAGTTGAAAGGTTTTTTGATGTGGTAAGGCGAGAAGTAAATTCAGCAAAGTCAGCCACTAATACCGAAGTATGCGCTGATAAAGCAGCGCTATTGGAAGGAACTCAAGGGTATAAACAAATACTTTGGAATAGTGGAAGACAGGATTAGTGCACCTACCTGTGAA